TACTAGCTGTGTATCCTGGGCATGCCACCTTGATGAGGGAGCATGAGGCAGGCTAAGGGACAAAGAACAAGCTAGCACAACCCCCCACCCCCCAACCCCCAGGTGGAATATGTGTGATATTCCTCAGACACTCCTGGCTACCCGAGAACAAAGGAAAGGGGTTTAAGTGCTTGCCATGGTGAAGTGGGAAACTAAGGCAAATGAAAAATTAAATTCCCTTACTGACTAGAGCCCATTGGCAAGTCCTTGAGACCGGCAGAGTGACCTCTCTCTAGGACCTTAGCTGCCTCAAGGATGACATTTTGCTGGGGGCAAAAGAGAACCTTAGCTTAACATTATCCCAAACTCCAGGATCCTGCAAGTCAATTTCTTTTATCTCAACTTCTCAAGATATATGCTGGCAATCATGCTCCAAGCTTATGGCCCCCCATATACACCTGAAGGGTCTCATGATTGAGGTTTTATTAAATGGTAATAAATGGAGTTTTCCTAGCAACGGCTAGCCCCTCAAGGTCCTAGAAACCTTGCTTCCAAAATACCTTAGAGACTTGCTCTAGCCCTGATCCCCTCCTAACCTGAGGGTATATAATGAGTTACCTGTCAGGACCCCAGTGCAGCTCTTCCTGCCCATGGGTTCTGTCCCCATGCTTTAATAAAATCACCTTTTTACACCAAAGATATCTTTAGAATTCTTTCCTGGCTATTGGCTCCAGACCCCAAGAACCCCCCCCCCCACCCCCCAAACTTCATCAACCTAACTTCTCTCTCAGTTTGCTTACTTATAACTGTTTGCATTTCTGTGATGTTGGTTGTTATTTCTCCTCTCTCATTTGTGATTTTATTTATTTGGGTCCTTTCTCTTTTCTTTTTCATGAGTCTAGCTAGAGGTTTCTCAGTTTTAGTACTTTTTTCAAAGTACAGCTCCTGGTTTCATTGATCTGTTCTATTGTTTTTTTTTTTTTTTAGTTTCTATATCATTGATTTCTGCTCTAATCTTTATGATTTCCTTCTTTCTGCTGGCTATAGGTTTACTACCAGCATTTTTCACAGAGCGAGAACAAGCAGTCCTAAAATTTGTATGGAACCACAAAAGACTCCAGATAGCCAAGGCAACCTTGAAGAAGAAAAGCAAAGCTGGAGGCATCACAATTCCAGACTTCACGTTATATTACAAAGCTGAAGTAATCAAAACAGTATGGAACTGGCACAAAAATAGACACATAGGTCAATGGAACAGAATCGAAAATCCAGAAATGAACCCTCAGTTACATGGTCAATTAATCTTTGACAAAACAGGAAAGAATATCCAATGGGTAAAAGACAGTCTCTTCAACAAATGGTATTGGGAACACTAGACAGCAACATGCAAAAGAATGAATCTTACACCATGCACAAAAATAAATTTAAAATATATTAAAGATCTGAACATGAGACTTGAAACCATAAATATCCTAGAAGAGAACACGGACAGTAACCTCTTTGACATAGGACCTAGCAATTTCTTTCCAGATATGTCTCTGTAGGCAAAGGAAACAAAAGCAAGAATGGGGCGGGGCCCCTGGGTGGCTCAGCTGGTTAAGCCTCTGACTCTTGGTTTTGGCTCAGTTCATGATCTCCACAGTTCTGTCAGTGCAGAGCTCGACGCAGGGCTGAGTCTCATGAACTGTGAGGTCATGTCCTGAGCTGAAATCAAGAGTCGGGACGCTTAACCAACTGAGCTACCCTGGCACCTGCCTCTTAGTTTTGATAATTCATTAGAGGGACACACAGAACTCACTGAAAGATGTTATCCTCATGGCTTATTACAGGAAAAGGATCTAGATTCAGATCAGCTAAGGGAAGAAAGAAATGCATAAGGCAGAATCCAGGAGGATTCCAAATATGAAGCAACCAGCTGTCTTCTCCCTGTGTAGCCAGGACAGCATTGCTCTCCTGGCAGTGATACATGACAGTCTTCAGGGATTATTGCCAACCAGGCAAGCTCACCTGAGCCCTGACATCCCAAGTTTTTACGGGGCCTCCATCATGTGGCGTGACTGATTGCTTATGTGGCTGATCTCAGTCTATAGCCCCTCCAGACATCTACTGATACTGGGTAACCTAGACCCCCTACACTAAAGCACATTGCTGGACTTTCTGGCCATCCCCTACCCTGACTATTTGATGTGCCCAGTACCCACCCTAAATTATATTTTTAGACAATCTGGTGACCCAAGTCTCCCAGGCAAACAACGATGCTCCTCTTAAGCATGACATTTCAAGAGCTTAGAAATTATTCCCCAGAAGCTGAGGACAAAGGTCAGATCTCTGTGCAAGGTTAAATTCTTGACTATAGAAACCTTGGAAACATTATGTTAAGTGAAAGAAGTCAATCACAAAAGGCCATATATAATTCCATTCATATAAAATTTCCAGAATAGACAGATGGTAGGGACAGAATGATTAATATTTACTGGGGGGGGGGGGAGGTGCTCTGGGTGGCTCAGTTGGTAAAGCATGCGACTCTTGATCTTGGGGTCATGAGTGCAAGCCCCAATTTGGGTGTAGAACTTACTTAAAAAAAATTTACCTGGGGCTGGGTTGGGTAGGGGGTGGAGGATGGGAAAGGTGAGTGACTACTAGTGGGTACAAGGGTTTATTTTTGGAGTGTTGAAAAATTATATAGTGCTGATGGTGGCACAGCTTTGTGACTATACTAAAACCCACCAATCTGTGCACTTTAGAAGGTGAATTTTATGGGATGTGAAATATATTGCAATAAAGCTGTAAAAGCAAAGTCAAGTAAAACGCAAAATTAATAAAATGAATAAATAACTGAATAAGAAGTATGACATAGTATCCCTTCATTAATTTTTTCCAAATTAAATTTAGAATTATTTTGACAAGTATTAAAAAAAATTTTTTTAATGTTTATTTTTGAGAGAGAGAGAAAGAGAGAACGAGTGGGGGAGGGGCAGAGAGAGAGGGAGACACAGAATCTGAAGCAGGCTCCTGGCTCCCAGCTGTCAGCACAGAGCCTGAGCAGGGCTCGAACCCATGAGCCAAGAGATCATGACCTGAGCTGAAGTCAGATGCTCAACCGACTGAGCCACCCAGGTGCCCCGAATATATTTTTTAATGTTTATTTCTTTTTAGAGAGAGAGAGAGAGAGAGAGAGCATGCGCACGCGAGCGCGAGCATGAGTGGGGGAGGGGCAGAGAGAGGGGGACGGAGAGGATCCTAAGCTGGCTCTGTGCTGACAGCAGAGAGCCCAATGCAGGGCTGGAACTCACAAATCATGAGATCATGACCCTACCCAAAATCAGACACTCAACCGACTGAACCACCCAGGCACCCCTGTTGAGTACTTTTTGAAAAGCTTTTAGGAATATTGTTATTGAGTTGACCATGAATTAACGTAGATTAGCTGGTTATCTATCTTTACATTTTTATGTTTTAGGAACATATCTTTACATTTTTATGTTTTAGGAACAGTGTTTGGGTTCTGACTTATTAAAATCTTCTTTCATCACTTTCAATAATATTTTGGAGTTTTCTTTGTATAGATTGTACCCGTCTGTCAGGATATTGGTTCCCAGGTATTTCATTTCTTTGTTATCATGAGTGCAATCTCTGTTTTTATATTGTTACTAAAGATAACAGTAATTTTTATTAGACAAACTGAAATTGTTCTGGAATGCAGCAATTTTTGAGTAGAATCGATTATTCGACTCTAGATGACTTAAAGTTAGGGTGAACTTGTATGTGGTGGGACGGGCTCCTGCATTTCCTTCCTGGGACCGAGCCGTTCTTCCTTTTGAGGTACAGGAAAGCAGCTTTGCTGTCAGCTGCTTCCCTCCCTGAGCTCTGAGACTTCCTGTTTAAAAGCACTGCAAGACCTGCTGACCCCATTTCTTTTCAGATTTAATTATTCTTTTTGAAAGCTGGCTCTAACCTGAAAGGGATTTGAAACATAAGGCTCCAGTGGGGATGAAGCTTTAGACCCAAGATAACTATTCCTTTTTCTGTTGAATAGCCTGGCAGGGGAACAATTTGCCCCCTGCCCTGAGCGCTGTCATTTGTTTTGATCATTTTCATTCCTATCGAGTGTGCTGCCGGCTCAGAAGGCAGCCATCTGATATCTGAAGTGACTCCTTACATTACTTCCTTGTCTCTTCTCTAGTAGCAAGATATTCCACCTGAATATCCCCGATTGTGGATGAAGAAGCTTCAGTGTGTGTGCTTGGCTATGGATTTAATAACCCTAAAGGGGAAAATACTGGCACAATAAGAATAGTTATTTGCTGGTGAGCTCCTCTGTGTCTGTTTAACTCATTTGCCCCTTAAAACCTTATGAATAGTTAAAACTCCTTTTTTTTTTTTTTTTATGAGAGAGAGAGAGAAAGGGAAAGAGAGTGTGCAAGCTGGGGAGAGTGACAGATGAAGAGAGAGAATCTTAAGCAGGCTCCATGCTCAGCATGGTGCGTGACATGGGGCTTGATCCCACGACCCTGGGAATTTGACTTGAGCTGAAATCATGATTCAGACACTTAACCAACTGAGTCACCCAGGCAGCCCAGTAGTTAATTCTTATTATCTCCATTTTACAGACCAAGTAATGGAGGCTTAGAGATGTTATGTAAATTGCCTGATGACAAATAGAAAGTGACCAATCTGGACCTTAGTTACAGAGAATATGATCTTAACTACTATTCCATACTGGGCCTGGAGTGGAAGAGTCTACTTTATTTTTTTAATGTTTATATATTTATTTTTGAGAGAATGAGAGTGAGTGGGAAGGGGCAGAGAGAGAGAGAGAGAGAGAGAGAGAGAGGAGAGAGAGAGAATCCCAAACAGGCTCCATGCTGTCAGCACAGAGCCCGAGGTGGGGCTTGATCCCATGAACCATGAAATCATGACCTGAGCCAAAATCAAGAGTTGGGTGCTTAACCAACAGAGCCACCCAGGCACCCCTGATTCTACTTTTCTAAGAAATCTGGAGTCAGACTTGAGTTTGAGTCCTGCGCCCTTTGCTTCCTAGCTCTGTATCCTTCAGCAAGTCTACTTACCTCATAAGGCTGTGAAGATGATGTGAGATAATGAATGGAAAGTTCTTACATGCTTGGGTCACAGTGAGTGCTAAATGGTTATCTGCTGTTATTCTTCAAAAATTTATCAAAAATTTGTCAGAAATTTTTTTCTTAAAAAAATTTTTTTTTAATGTTTATTTTTGACAGAGAGAGACAGACAGACAGACAGAGCATGAGTGGGGGAGTGGCAGAGAGAGAGGGAGACACAGAATCCGAAGCAGGCTCCAGGCTCTGAGCTGTCAGCACAGAGCCTGACGCAGGGCTCGAGCTCAGGGACTGTGAGATCATGACCTGAGCCGAAGTTGGAAGCTCAACTGACTGAGCCACCCAGATGCCCCTGAAAAAAATTTTTTTCTGTATCAGCAAAAAAACAAAAAAGAATTGTTTTTTCGATACTAGACCCTGAGCTAATTTGGGGGACTCAATGAAATACTGATGGCCCAAGTCCTAACAACCAGCGGATTGGTCCATCTGGGGCTTGTGGACTAAACCTGGTCTTCAGAAGTATTCTGTTTGTCCCCCACACATACACTTTAAACTTTTTGAATTAGTTGCAGATAATTCAAAATGGGGAGATTTCAATAAAATCTGGAATTACCACTGCTTTTGGAAAACAGCAGAGCTGGGCCTGCATTCTCCCATGGTGGCAGTCCTCTAGAATGCATTTGGTCACGTGGCAATGTGGGCCACAGACCCCGCCACCCCCTGTTGCATCCAAAGCTGAGGGAGTCACTGGCTGTTCATTGTTGCAGCTGTACTGCTTTTCTTATGATAGAAGTAAAACCTTTCATTTACCTAGGCTGCTCTCAAAAGAGATCAAAAGATGGGTCGAAGTAGCTGCATGATTTCAGAAAAATGAATGATCTTTTTGTTTAAAAGCCAGGATTATTCTCATGTCTGACCGGCTTCACTTATTTTGATAATTTGCTTGGCCTCTGTAGGCATATGCATTTGCAGCCCCTGGTGTAAAAAGGTAACCTCACAATGTGATGAGTGCCATGCTGGAGGTAAACCCAAAATGCTTTGGAAGTACCAACAAGAGTCCCTTCACCAGGTCTGGGAGTTCGGAGGATGCTTCCTGTAATATCTATCACCTGACCAGGGTCATATACTATTAGTGGGTGAGGCCTAGAAGGACAGTGGCAGAGGTTTAGGCAGTGGGTGGGGTTGAGAGGTTGTTTAAGCAGATGGAACAGCTTGAGAAAGGTCTCAGAGGTAGCAGCAGCTGACTTTGGATCTTCTTTGCCTATTGACCTGCCTTTGATCTTCTACCCTGACCCCTTCTCAGATGGGGCCGTGTCCCTAGCTGTCACATCACTAACAGACAAAAGATGACTGAAGCTGGTCAATGGCCAAGTCCTCCTGGTTCCATATACCAGCTGCACTCACATCTTCACATTTCCCTGACTTACCAGAAGGACACACGTGTACCCTGGGGGACCACCTCCAAAATTCCATCAACACAAGTTCCTAACAGAAGGAGTTTTCACATCCATCACTCAATTACACATCAACAATAATATAAAGCTATTCCTTTAGATGACAGTTTGAGAATATTTTAGTGTTTAAATAACAGAAATCAGAATCTGTGTAGCTGGTGGAATTTACACCCCTCCATAAAATAAACTATCTACATGCTTGTTCCTGACAAAGGCAAATCAAAATTTTCCCAGGGCAATAAAGAGAAGCTTCCAGAGGTGAGAGTATTTCTCTTTGAGCAGTCCAGAGGAGAGAGAAAGAATCTAGGATCTCTCAACTTGACAATGGAAGACTGAATGGTCAAGGCCAGGCTCAACCCATAGGAAAAGTAATGATAGTGGGTAGACCCTGTGAACTTTTTTTTTTTTTTTTTTGAGGGCATGCATCCAGCAAGGGAACTAGCAAGTCTAGCTGTGACTGGTGGGAAGGTCAACTGAAAGTGAAGGACCAGAGCCTATCCTTGCTCACAGACATGAGTCCACTCCTACCAGGCGTCTGAGAGACGTGGCAGAGGTTTCGTGAAGGCTTGAGGATGGAAGAGACTTCCCTTGCAGAGATCAAGGTCAAGTTCAAGCTACAGTCAAGAACTCTGCTCCAAACCATAATAAGATACCATTCCACACTCACTAGGTTGGCCATAATAAAATAGATAGACAATAAAAAGTATTAATGGGGATATAGAGAAATTGGAACCCTCATACATTGCTGGTGGAAATAAAGGGTGTAGCTACTTTGGAAAACAGTTTGGCAGTTCCTCAAAATGTTAAACATAGAGTTATTATATGACCTAGAAACCCCACTCTTAGGTATATACCCCCCAAAATGAAAACACGTTTACACAGAAACCTGTACAAAATACTCATAGCCCAGCATTGTTCATAATAGCCAAAAGGTGGAAACAACCCAAATGTCCATCAGCTAATGAATGGATAAACAAAATGAATCTCCATGGGATAGAATATCATTCAGTAGTAAGAATGAAGTAGCAGCACATGATATGACATGTTTGAACCCTGAAAACATTATACCAAGTGAAAGAAGCCAGTCACAAAAGACCAGATATTATGATTCCATCCATATGAAATATTCAGAACAGACATGACCATGACAGAGCACGGGTTAGTGGTTGCCTGGGGCTAGGGCCAGGGTTGGGGGATCGGAAGGGGGGACCAGGAAAGACCAGTGACTGCTAATGGGTGCAGGTTTCATTTTACACTATTGGAAAGGTTCCTAAAATTAGATACTGGTGATGGTTGCACAACTCTGTGAATATAATAAAAACCACTGAATTGTACACTTTGAAAGAGTGAATTTTATGGTATGTGAATTATATCTCAATAAAGATGTCATTAATAAAAAGATCTCTGCTCCAAGTTTCCTGAGACCCCCTGTGAGATAACTGGAAGCCACAATGGACTTTCTTCTTCTTTTTTTTTTTTTTTTTTTAAATTCTTGAGCCTCTATTTATTAACTCTGTATCTGCTGGTTTTTCTTAAGGTTCTGCCTTAGAGTATGCTCCATGAAGACAGACTCCTGGCTTTTACCACTAGTTGTGTGATACTGAGCAAGTTAGTGAACCTCTTGACTTCAGTTTCCTCATTTGAAAATGGAGATAGGGGTGTCTTGGTGGCTCGATCCATTAGGTGTCCAACTCTTGATTTCGGCTCAGGTCATGATCTCACAGCTTGTGAGATCAAGCCCCAAGTCGGGCTCTGTGCTGACAGTGTAGAGCCTGCTTGGGATTCTCCGTCTCCCTCTTTCTCTGCCCTTCCCCGGTGCATGCTCTCTCTTCTCTCTCTCTCACTTTCTCTCTCTCAAATAAATAAACTTAAAAAAAAAAGCCAATGGAGATAATAATTGTACCTTCTTCATGGGTTAAGTGTGAAATACATGATAAATATATGAGTAAATACACGGAGCCTATTTAGAAGAGTACCTGGCACATAGTTAAGTTCTGCATGTATTTGTAATGATTAGTATCAGCATTTAGCACCTAGTAAGTGCCCTTTGAGTATTAGTTATTGTTATTATTAGAGAGGGTATTGGCTAACTTGTCTAGGACTTTCTGTTCTACTACTGATGAGCACTTGGACGCTTACAATTTGGAGTTAGTAAAGAACAATGCTGCTGTGAATATTGGTGTGTCAGTTTCTCTAGGGTACATATACCCAGGAATGGATTGCTGAGTCATGGGGTATGCAGATCTTCCTGCTTGTGGATAATGTCAAACCAGTGTCAAAGTGGTTGATTTGGTGTATGTTCTCACCTCCACCACTTGATATGCTCACCTTGTAAAATTTTTATCTGGTATGTAGTGATGGCATCAATTTTAATTTGCATTTCCCTAATTAGTAATGAGGAGAGTGCCTTTGGTTTCCTCTTTTTTAAAAATTTTTAATATTTATTTATTTTTTAGAGAGAGAGACAGACAGACAGAGGGCAAGCAGGGGAGGGGCAGAGAGAGAGGGAGACACAGAATCTGAAACAGGCTCCAGGCTCTGAGCTGTCAGCACAGAGCCCGATGGGGGGCTCAAACCCACAAACCATGAGATCATGACCTGAGCTGAAGTCGGACTCTGAACCGATTGAGCCACCCAGGTGCCCCTGATTTCCTTTATTGTGAAGTTCCTGTTCTAATGTCTTGTCCCTTTCTTACAGGTTATGTGTCTTTTTCTTGTTGATTTGTGGGAATTCTTCATGTGGTTTGGAAACTAGTCCTTTGTCTACCACATGTATTTCTATTGCTCTGCTTGTCTTTTTGCTCCAACATGGTATCTTTTGATGAACAGAAAATTGTGATTATTAAGCAAATTTATGAATCTTTTGTATTCTGGTTAGTGGTCTTTGTGTCTTGTCTAAGAAATTCTTCTCTATGCCAAGATCTTGAACATGCTTCCTGTATTATCTTATGAAAGCTTTCTAGTTTTTCCTTTTACATGTAGGTCAATTCCACCTGGAACTGATTCCCGTGCATGAGGTGAGATAGGAATGTAACTTCAATTTTTTCTACATGGATGCTCAATTTTGTCAGCGCTGTGTATTAAAAAGTCTGTTCCTTCTTTACCGATCTGCAGGCCACCTCTGTCATGTAGCAAATGTCCATAAGTGTAGAACTGTTTGGGGTTTCTTTTATTCTCTTCCTGTTACAACTGGTCCTCTCACATTGGTCTCCTTATTCAGTAGCCTCAGATTTCAGTATTTCCTCTTGGATCTTTACCTTGAGAATCAGCCTGTCAAGTTCCACCCACCCCTCCCCCCAAAAAAATTAAAAGTCAAAAAATAAATAAAGCCATGTCCCCAATCAGTGTACATCTCAAGATCTGACTGGAGGGTAGTGGGCAGGAAGTCTTTCTGGAAGTGAATGAAGAAGCATGGAGATTTAGTTGCATCTCTTTTATTGGAGAGCTGCCTTATCCCAGGGACATTGGCATGGGGTTGAAAACAACAGACAGAGAAGGGCAGAGCTGCCAAAGTCACTAAAAACAGAGTCAGACCATGTCTTCTAAATCCTTCTTACCTTTGGGTGCTGAAGCTTTATCATTTTGACTTGAGGTTTCTTTGAGATCCAACCAGAAGCATCCTAACTTATCTTAAATACAGCTGGAATGCAGAGGTAAGTAAAAAAGCCTTTTCATGAGAAGGACAGCAGCTGTCACAAAAGCTAAGAATTTTTTTCTATAGGAAGGTAATATGTAATAATAATAATGATAATGATAGTAGTTATAACTAACATTTACCAAGCCTGGCACCATGCTAAGAAATGTCCAGGTAATATATCATTACATTTCTGATCTTACTCAATGGCCATGATGTCCCAGTGTTATTCTTTTCCCAGATCCAGAGAGGTCAAGTAACACTCACAATGTCACAGAGCTAATAGGATTCAAGGATAGGCCTGTCTGGCTTCAACACACTTATCAATTGCTCTTTGGACTCAGAATTCCTTATGAAATAGGGAAAATTAAAACCTCCCAGAAGGGTAAGGTTTGGTAAAAGGGGAATTCAACCTTACTCCTGGCAGGAATATAAATGGTTATAACCTTAGGGAACAGTTTGATAGTATGTATTAAATACCTGAAAATATTTATCTTCTTTTAACTACTAGCTCTACTTTTAAAAAAAGAGTGGGGCCTCCAAATAAACATTTTCAAGCATGTTCAGAGCAGCAAAATTTTTTAGTAGCAAAAATAGAGTTTTGACTAAATGTTAGGAACTAAAATACTATTGCAACTATTAAGAATAGCGTTTTAGAATATTTTAAAAACGTTTATTTATTTTTGGGAGAATGAAAGCAGGGAAGGGACAGAGAGAGGAGGACAGAGGGTCTGAAGCAGGGTCTGCACTGCCAGGCTGACAGCAGTGAGCCTGATGTGGGACTTGAACTCACAAACCACGAGATTATGACCTTAGCTGAAGTTGGACGCTTGACTGACTGAGCCACCCAGATGCCCCTAGAATTTTTAATGACAAGGAAAAATATACTATCTTAAGTGAAAGGAGCAAATTATAAAACAATATTCACAGCAGGATTTCTGTTATATTTAAAAAGCAAGAAGGGTATACAGCAAAATGTTAGTAGTGATTATCTCTGTGGGGTGGATTTATGGATAATTTAAATTTTCTTCTTTGACTTTTCTGAAAATTTCAAGTTTCAACCATGAATATGCTGAACTTTTTATTAAAAATCTCAAACATAGGGGCACCTGGGCGGCTCAGTCAGTTAAGCCTCTGACTTTGGCTCAGGTCATGATCTTGCACTCTGTGAGTTCGAGCCCCACGTCAGGCTCTGTGCTGACAGCTCAGAGCCTGGAGCCTGCTTTGGATTCTGTGTCTTCTTCTCTCTCTGCACCTCCACCTCTCATGCTCTCTCTCGCTCTCTCTCAAAAATAAATAAACATTAAAAAATTAAAAAAAAACTCAAACATATTCAAAAGTAGAGAGAACAGAAAAATGAACCTGATGAATTTACCACCAGCTTTAATATTTTTCACCATGGGGGCAATCTTGCTCATGGTACCCCTGCCACTCCGTTCCCCAGATTATTTTGAAGCAAATCTCAAATATTGTATTTTTTTTGCAAATATGGCAGCACTCTAAAAGATATGGACTCCTTTTCAAAAACCACAAAGTACCAGTATTATACCTATATTTAAAAAATAATGAATTCTTAAGTATCATTAAATATCTACCCAATTTTGGTCTTTCTCTGATTGTCTTAAACGTTTTTGTTTTGTATGTTTCTTGTATGTTCTTGGTTTTGCTGTTTTAATATATATATATATATATATATATTTATATTTTTTTTTTTTTTTGTTTATGCCTTATTTGAATCAAGATCCAAATAGGGTTTATCCATTGTGACTGGTTGATGTGTCTCACATCTCTTTTATAGTTTCTTATTTTTTTCATGCAATATTTTGTTGAAGAAATTAGATAATCTGCCTCCTAGAGTTTCCTATAGCTTTGATTTTGCATCTTTGTGATATTGTTCTTCCTCCATTTCCTGTAAATTCTTCATTTGCTCTAGAGGCTTGATCAGATTCAAGGTTTTGTTTGGCTTTGTTTTTGTTGTGGGGCTAGGGGAGGGACAAAGCAACTTCATACATGATGGTGTTTACTTCTATCAGGAAAATCCAAAGTCTGGTAGTCTTTCTTGTGATGTTAGCAGACATTCATGATCATTGCTACACCCATAAATCATTAGGAATTGCAGAATTGTGATGTTCTAATTGTCATTCCTTTTTTACTTACTAGCCGGCATACTTTTATAAAAGAGAATTTCACAAAGGAAAAAGAGAATGAATGCCAGATTCTTTCTCTTTAATGACCCATTTTAAAAATAATTAGGTGGTTTTCTTGCATTCTTCAGTGATGACTTAAAATTTTTTTTTCTTTTTGGAGTACTGTCATAAACTCACAGAGGTAAAGATATTTGATGTGTTTCAATCCATTGATATTTTTAGCAGATTATCAAATTGTCCCATCCTTTTGCAAGTGGAGGTTCTTCATGTTCACTTCTGAGTTTTTCTGACCTAACCCTAGTAGTCGTCGATAGCTTCCATGCTTTCTGGTATGACAAGATATTTCAGGATCATCTTATCTCATACATTTCCATCCCCAGGTGTGGAATGAGGCTCTAAAGAGCCTAGATTTCTTTTAGTGGGACAATTCGTGTACTAGGAAGTGGTAAATAAATGCTTTTTAATAAAAAGAGTACCAGAGACTGGATGGTGAATAATGGTACAAAATGAATAGAACTGTAAGAGTATCACCACCCAGGACCCCTTTAGAGAG